AGGAAGTTACAGAGGGACTTAGACAGATTAAGTGAGCAAAGCTGTGGCAGATGGAGTTCAATGTAGGGAAGTGCGAGGTCATCCACTATGGACCGAAAAAAGATAGGGCAGAATAGTTTCTTAACGGGGAGAAACTAAGAGCTGTGGAAGAGCAAAAAGATTTGGGTGTCCATATCCACAAATCACTAAAAACCAATTCCCAGGTGCAAAACATAATCAAAAAGGCAAATGGTATGTTGGCCTTTACCTCGAGAGGCCTGGAATACAAAGGGGAAGAAATGATGCTTCAGCTGTATAGAGCATTAGTCAGACCCCACCTGGAGTACTGCGTTCAGTTTTGGGCACCGCACCCCAGGAAAGATATATTGGCCCTGGAGGGGGTGCAGCGCTGGTTCACCAGAATGTTACCAGGCCAAAAAGGCTTAAGTTACGAGGAAAGGCTGCGTAAACTTGGATTGTATTCCCTCGAGTTTAGAAGATTGAGGGGTGATTTGATAGAGGTTTTTAGGATGATAAAGGGATTTGATAGGAAATAGCTTTTCTGCATCTACCCTATGTTGGGGGAATGCAAAACAAGAGGGCATAGTCTTAAAATTAGAACCAGACCATTTAAGAGTGAAATTCGGAAGCATTTTTTCACTCAAAGTGGGTAGAAATCTGGAATTCTCTCCCCCAAAAGGTCATGGATGCTGGATCCATCCACACCTTCAAGAAAGAGATTGACAGATTTTTAGTAGGTCGGGGTATTAAGGGATACAGGGAGAAAGCGGAAATTGGAATTGAAATTCTAGTAAAGATATAGATCAGCCATGATCTAATTAAATGGTGGAATAGGCTCGACGGGCTGAATGGGCAACTCCTGTTCCTATTTTCCTATGTAACCAGTCTCTGTCCTCAGGCTCTGTTTTATTCCCCCTGAAAAACGCTGTTATCTCACTTCTCCTCAAAAAACCCACCCTCGATTCCTCTAATCTCTCACACTACTGTTCCATCTCCAACCTGCCCTTCCTTGCCAAAGTCCTGGAAGGCATTGTTACAGGTCAACTTTGGTGACACCTTTCCCTCCGCTCCCTCCTCGAGCCCCTGCAGTCTGGTTTTTGCCCTGCCCACAGCACAGAGACAGCGCTTGTCAAAGTTACAAACGACGACCTCTCAATCTGTGACCAGGGCTCCCTCTGCCTCCTCATCCTACGGATCTCTCTGCCACATTCAACAGTCGATCCGCCATCCTCCTCCACCACCTCTCCTCCCTCATTCACCTTAGTGGGACCGCACTCACATGGTTTGAATCCTACTTAACCAACCGCCTCCATTTCATCGCCCCAAATGGTTTCGCCTCCCTCCCCCACAGGGCTTCAGCCTTAGCCCTCTCTTTTCCCTCATCTATATGCTCCCTCTGGGCAACGTCATTTGCAGACACGGGGTAAACTTCCACATGTACGCGGATGAAACACAAATCTGCTTTGCCTCCTACAGTACCAACTCCAGGTTCGCCGATGTTCTATCAGCTTGTCTGGCAGACATCAGGGCCTGAATGAGTGCAAACTTCCTGCTGCTGAATGTGGATAAGATGGAAACCATACTCCTTGGCTCCTGTCAATAGCTTCACTCCTGCGGATCTGAACTCCTTAACCTCCCTCAGATTCACCAAACCAGTGTGCAATCTAGGCATCCTGTTTGACCCCCAGCTGTCCTTCCTTCCCCACATCCAGTCCCTGACCAGGACCCCCTTCTTTCACCTCCACCACATTGCCTGTCTCCAACCGTTCCTTACCCCAGCCAAAACTCTTGTGCATGGGTTTGTCACCTCTCGCCTGGATTACTCAAACACACTCCTCGCCGGTCTCCCCAGCTCCACTATTCAAAAGATTCAGCTCATTCAGAACTCTGCCGCCCGCGTATTGACCCAGACCAAACTCCGTACCCACATCTCACCAGTTCTGGCCAGGCTCCACTGGCTCCCCATCACCAAACGGATCGACTCACGCTCATGTTCAAATCCATTCACTTTCTGGCACCTCCCTACCTCTCCGACCTCCTCAATCCACCACCCTGGCGCCTCAGCTTGACTGGCACCGGCCTCCTGTTGTCCCTCACACCCACCATCGGAAGTCACGCTTTCAACCACTACACCCCAAAATTCTGGAATACTCTCCCTGAATCCCTCTGCCTTGCCCCCTCTCCCCTTTTTCAAGTCCCGCCTGTAAACATTCCTCTTCGACGTGCTTACGGCCTCCCACCCCCCACCTGGCATGGAGTCAGACACTGTTAAGCACTCTGAGACACTACCCTGCTTGGAAGGCGCTTTTTAAGTACAAGTTGTTGTTGTAAACAAAACATATGAGATTGTGTGGTAAGCTAACAATATACATGTGTAGCAATAATAATTAAACAAATAATAAGTAATGTAATGATGGGCCTTCAGCCACTCTGCTCCCACCCTCTAGAACTCCATCCCATAGTCCCATGGCATGTGTATGAAATACACAGACTGAAACTCATCTGCATCTTGGGTTACTTCCCAGTTAATGGACGAGTGAAAATGGCCCAGGTTGTGCACAGTGCTCATAACTCACACTTACAATGAGGTTTCTATTTGTCCTTTAAAGTATCTACACTATTCTTGCAGATAGTTACAAAACCAAACACTTTTGAGTACTAAATGGATTACTTTTACCTTATCTTCTGGGGTTTGTAGTATTACTCTCCCGATCTTGTATGCAGGGAATTTGTTATATGCTGAATAAAATATTATCAGAAATTCAATGGTTTGCGTGCATCGAGATCTCTCTGTCTTTAAAGTATACGACTTCCAATTTGTAGAGCGTCTTTCACATCAGGGAGGTACTGGACAGTCCTGGTGGTGGGGATCAGGAGGGATGGAGTAAGGGGATGGTAGGGATTGGAGGGTGACCGAAGGCACAGTCGAAGAGGAGGGTCTTGAAGGAAGCAAGGAGCAAGGCAGAGGCACTATGGGATGGAGTTCTAGAGGGTGGGAGCAGAGTTGCTGAAGGCCCACCCTTACATTACTTATTATTTGTTTAATAATACATTACTTGTTATCAATGCCTCTCCCACACCAGTTGAGTGAACGCAAAAATAAATCCCTGCTTCGTCTGTTGGTGCCCGGGTGTACAACAGAGCTCTCTACCCTCCATGTGGGGAAGAGGTTGCTGCCCTAGAGTTGAACTGGCTCAAAGGTAAAGTGCTTCACAACTGAATGTCAGAATCAAGTCCACCTTCTCTGGCAGTTTTGGAGGTCCCACTCCTCAGTCAGGCAGATCCACAGTACTCAAGGGCATTGTTGATGACAGATCAGTCAGCCTGTTATAATAATGATAAACCTTGCATTTGATGTAGCGCCTTATATCAATGAGACATCTCAAAAGTGCTTCAGTTTACGTAAAGTGAATAGACCGTATATTTTGTGGGAAAAACATAGCAGCCAATTCAGTCGTGGATTAAATGACCAAATTATTATTATTATTTCTTGAGGGATTATTACCCATGGAAAGCGATTTGGCAATCGGCTAACAACCAGGTTTCTCCTTATTGCTAGGTAAACAGAGCCGTGTCTGTGTAATGCCGTTACCACCATTAGCGGGTGTGCCTTCAGCCTCTCTGCCCACACTCTCTGGAACTCCATCCCCCAATTCCTTCCTCTTCAACCGTGCCTTCGGTCACTATCCTACCCTCCCTGCCCTCCACCCATCCTGATCCCAACCACCAGCTCAAGTGCAGATCCCTGACTATCCAGCGCTTTGGGACGTCCTGCTGACGTGAAAGGCACGGTACAAATGTAATTTGTTGTTATATTGGATGGAGAATTGAACTATTTGGGATGGGTCCCTGACCTGTCCGGGATTTCAGCTGACTTCCCACAGACCACATGAGCACCAACCCTCATGTTTCTAAGTCCCTCCAAAAAACACCACTTTCTAAAGTAACAATAAACTTTACGAAAGTTGCAATATTTTGAAAACAATGAACAAACCAAGACAACTTATGCACATTTTAATTTTTTAATAATCATACTAACTACTTTAAATTATAATCCCGATTAAAGTAAATTTGTATCCAGCCACAATTTGAAACATTGGAATCCTGCTACGTTTGTCTAAAAAAGTCACTATACTTTACAGGTAATCCTGTGAAGTGCTAATGTCCTATTGAAGGTATAATACTGTACAGTAAACCTCACAGAAATCATATCAGTTGGGACCATACATTTCATCTGATTTATGCAAAGTGTGAGATATGTGAAGCTTATAAATATTGCATTAGGAAATTCAACACTACTTGGGCAGATGTAATTTAGGCGATTATACAATTTATACAGAATAATAATTCTTGCATTTGATATAGCGACTTATCACGTCTTCGAAACGTCTCAAAGTGCTTCACAGAATACAAGTGAATTAAGTGTATATTTTGTGCGTGAAACGCGGCAGCCAATTTCACACTTGAGTGATCCACAAACAATCGTGGATTGAGTGACCAATTTTTTTTTGAAGGATCATATTTATGCGAGTTTACTGTCTCTTTTTTGTCCATTTGTTCCCCACCCCCAAGTTAGGGAATCTTTGGGGTTTAAAAGCACTTGCATTGGGATAGTTACCCTTGCAAATGTAGTTTAGCAGCTCAGATCCAAACCAGCTTAGATTGAAACCTGCAGAATTGCTCTTTTTGCCTGGCTTGAATATGTTTCTTTTGGACAATAGTAATTCTTTTAAAAAAAATTAATTGACAATTCATTGCTTTTGACTACCCACCCACATTTTTGGCTGTCTTCTGTGTTGTAAATTTCTATGGTTCTAAAGCTAGGAATCAAGAATTGCATCACTGAAGTCAGCAACCAGGCTTGTAAGCTTCACTCAGCTGAACCTTTTTAGAAGTGTGCTCATTTCGTAGCACGGGGGAGCAAATTGGATCCATCCTACATCTAATCCAGATAAGCACACGGTTTGAGAATAAATAACCTTTCAACAAATACATGAGCAAAATCCAAAGAGAATTTTATTGTTTGTGAGCCCCAACATTTCACCTCTCCTCGAGTAAAACTTTCGATAAACATACTTGACATGGGTTACTAGGATTACTTTGTTTAATCTCTAGTTAATGTTTAGTCTTTCAGCTAGACAGGCCTGGGCATTGATTCAGCACTGAGCATCAGCCCTGTATACAGAGCAGCTCTCTTCTTGCCAGTATTTATGGAGTTGAGTAATGAGCAAACTTTCGATTCCCAAGTGATCCTTTTTCCACTATGCCATTATATCACACAGGTCACTGCAAACCATCTGTGTATTTTTTTTAAAACAAAATAAAGAGTTTTAAAACAATACATAGCAGGTATTGGGAACATCTTTTTAAGAGTCCAGAAAATTCAATTCAAATGGCTCTTTCTGCACTGGTTAGTAAACTGATGTATTTGACTATTGGACAGGAGGAAAAGGATCAATTCTAGTTCATATGAGATATTTGAGACAGATTTGGTTTTTAAATAAGGATCATAAGATGAACCATTCTAACATAGTCAACCACACAACAGTTCAGGAGGTACCGCTTCCGTTAAAGCAAGGCACCGACACAGCTTAAATATCCATCTCCTAAAAGAAAGGCCAGTGACTAGGACTAGACAAGTACTTCTTATTTGAACTTGATAAATTAGATTTCTTAATGGAGTCCGATAAACGATCAGATAATACACACAGTGCTCAGGTTGTCATGGGAGGTGGGCATCAAAACGGAGGAATGGAATGGCAGAAGCTCACAAAATTGGTCAGGAAAGCCTCAATTAGGCCTCCTTTTTCTAGTGCTGAGTACTAACTCTCTGTCGAGAGCTCCCAGCTTTCTGTGGGTTGGCAGACTGTGACCAAACCAGGGACAGCGGCTGTTGCGGACTGGCCCCGCTCTTTATCTGATAGTCTTGCTGATGTTGGAGAAGCCAATTCCGACGCACGTCATCAGCACTTTCTCGCCCCCTTTCCGTTCTTCACTTGGCTGCGTTTCAATTTTGAACATGATTTGAAAGAAGCTTCTGAGGTGCCGAAGAAACTCGATTCTTTTTTTCAAAAAACAAAAAAAACGAGTTAAGCATTTCATTGTTTATTTCTCCTGGATTATTCTCATGTCCATTCTTAACTTCTCTGTACCCCACCCACTTTCATTTTAGATGGAGCTGCGGATATTCAACAGCAATGTGAACCAATAGCATTTTTCATAGAGAAGCATTTTACAATACAACGAACTAAGTGGTTACATAACATAACGGAGCAGGAGTAGGCCATTCGGCCCTTCGAGCCTGCCCCGCCATTCAATCATGGCTGATCTTCTAATCTAACTCCAGCTAATAACCTAACCCTGCCTTATCCCCATATCCCTTAACCCCTTTTGCAATAAGAAATATATCTATCCCAGTCTTGAATATGAACTGAGCGTCAACAGCCCTTCGGGGTAGCGAGTTCCCTTTGAGTGAAGAAGTTCTTCCTCAACTCAGTGCGAAAGGGCTGCCTCTGATTTTAAGGTTGTGACCCCTGGTTTTAGTTTCTCCAACCAGGGGAAACAATCTCCCACTATCTACTCTATCATTTGTGGAGTCCTGTAGCTCATTGATTAGAGCACTTGCTTTGAAAGTTCAATTCCAGGCAGGGCGAAACCTTGGGCAAGTTTCCTTACTCCACACACCTAATAATAATCCCTCAAAAAAAAACCAATAATAAATTGGTCATTTTCAATCCACGACTGTTTGTGGGACATTGCTGTGTGCAATTGGCTGCCGCGTTCGCCCACAAATATACAGTCAATTCACTTTACAGTGTGTTCTGTGAAGCGCTTTGAGACATCCTCCCAACGTGAAAAGCGCGATATCAAATGCAAGGATTATTATTATTATTATTATCATGCCCTTTGATGATCTTATAGGTTTCTATAAGATCCCCTCTAATTCTTCTATATTCTAGAGAATATCGGCCCAAATTAGTCAGCCTATCCTCGTAACTCATCTCCTTCATCCCTGGTACTAACCTTGTAAATCTACTCTGCACCCCCTCCAAGGCAAGTACATCCTTCCTTAAATAAGGAGACCAAAACGGCACACAGTATTCCAGGTGTGGTCTCACCAGGGCCCTATACAGTTGCAGCAAGACTTCCCTACTCTTATACTCTAATCCTTTCATAATGAATGCTAACATCCCGTTCTCCTTCCTAATTGCTGTTGCACCTGCAGACTAACTTTCTGTGATTGGTGTACAACACCCAAGTCCCTCTGGTTGCCAACACATTCCAATCTCTCCCCTTCTAAAAAACAACCCGCTCTACAACAACAACAAGATTTCATTTATAGAGCGCCTTTCACGTCAGGAGGATGTCCCAAGGCACTGGACAGTTGGGTCAGGACCCGAGCAGGGGGGAAATGGTCAGGGTGAGGGGAAGGGAGGGGGCGAGGAGGGGGTAGAGAGTCGAGAGGGGAGCTGAAGGCACGGTCAAAGAGAAAGGTCTTGAGACCGGCCTTGAAGGAGGAAAGGGAGGAGGCGGCGAAGGCATTGGGGGATGGAGTTCCAAAGCCTAAGGGCTGAGAGGCTGAAGGCCCGGCTACCGATGGTAGGGCGGGGGATGTGGTGCAGACCGGAGCCAGAGGAACGGAGGGTACGGGCAGGTAAGTAGAGGGATAGTAGGTCGGAGAGGTAGGAGGGAGCAAGGCCGTGAATGGCCTTGTAGGTGAGGATGAGGATCCTGAATTCGATCCTCTGGGGGATGGGGAGCCAGTGGAGGCGAGCGAGGGTGGGAGTGATGTGGTCCCGAAGCCTGGTGCGGGACAGTACACGAGCTGCAGAGTTCTGAATGACCTGCAGTGTGGAGAGAGTTCCCATAGTCCAGCCTTGAGGTGATAAAGGCGTGGACCTGAAGGCGTGTTTCAGCAGCGTGAGGGGTGAGGTAGTGCCGTAGTCTGGTGATGTTTCGGAGGTGATGGAAGGCGGTGCCGGTTGTGGCGCGGTTATGAGGAAGAAAGGACAGCTCAGGGTCGAACAGAACCCCGAGGTTCCTGATTGGCTTTGAGAGATGGAGAGTGCAGCCTTGGATGCTGATGCTGTCAGCGCCTGAGGTGGGGAGGCGCTGACGTGAGCCAATCAGGAGGGCCTCAGTTATGCGCACGTTGAGCTGAAGAAAGTTGTCTCTCGTTCAGGACTCAATGACGGACAGGCAGGATGTCAGGACATCGGTGGTCGTGGAGTTGAGGGTAGAGGAGGAAAGGTAGAGTTGGGTATCATCTGCATACATGTGGAAGTTAACCCCATGTCTGCGGATGATGTCACCAAGGGGGAGCATATAGAAGGTGAAGAGGAGGGGACCGAGGACAGAGCCCTGAGGGACACCGCACGAGACAGTGCGGGGGTGGAGGAAAAGCCGTTTGTGGAAACAAAATGAAGATGGTGGGAGAGGTAAGACCTAAACCACTCAAGGACAGGGCCTTGAAGTTTAAGGAGGGAGGACAAGCGGTGGAGGAGGATAGCCTGGCCGACCGTATCGAATGCGGCCGATAGGTCGAGGAGGACGAGGAGGCAGAGGGAGCCCTGGTCGCAGATGGTCATAATGTCATTGGTGATCTTGACCAGGGCAGTTTCTGTGCTATGGGCAGCACGGAAACCCGACTGAAAGTTTTCGAATAATGAATGGGTGGAGAGGAAAGAGCGCAGCTGGGAGGCGACAACTCTTTTGAGAACCTTGGACAGAAAGGGGAGGATGGAGATGGGCAGGTAGCTTGATAGCTGCGACGCATCAAGGGAGGGTTTTTTCAAAGTGGGAGTGATGGTGGCAGTTTTTGGGGAATGGGAACAGAGCCAGAGGAGGTGATATCTGTGAGAAGTGTTTTTGCTCCCTAGGTGGATGACTTCGCACTTCCCTACATTATACTTCATCTGCCACCTACCTGCCCAATCACCTGACCTATCTATGTCGCGCTGCATTTTGTTTAATGTCATCCTCTGTGTTGACATTTCCTCCTAGTTTTGTGTCATCCGCGAATTTAGATATATTAACTTTGATGTCCTCATCTAGATCGTTGATGTAGATGGTAAATAGCTGAGGCCCAAGGACTGATCCTTGTGGCACTCCACTAGTCACATCCCGCCAATCTGAAAGGGACCCGTTTATCCCTACTCTTTGTTTCCTACCCGTTAACCATTCCCCAATCCACGTTAATATGCTCCCCCCAATTCCATGGGCCCTTAACTTTCGGACTAACCTTTTATGCGGCACCTTATCGAATGCCTTCTGGAAGTCCAAATAGACCACATCCACTGATTCACCCTTATCTAGTTTACTCCAAATATCCTCAAAAACCTCTATGAGATTTGTCAAACATGACTTCCCTTATGTAAAGCCATGTTGACTTGGCCTAATTATATTGTGCTCCCCTAAATACCGTAGTACCACAATCAACGATTCTAAAATGTTTCCTGTCACTGATGTGAGACTAACTCGCCTATCTTTTCCCCATCTTTTCCTTTCCACTTTTTTAAATAGTGGCGTGACATTTGCGATCTTCCAATCCATGGGGACTGTTCCAGAATCCAAGGAATTTTGGAAGATCAGACACAAGGCCTCCACTATCTCATAAGCTACCTCTTTTAAAACCCTGGGATGCAAGCCATCCGGACCAGAGGATTTGTCACTTTTTAGTGCTAACAGTTTCCCTAGCACCAATTCTCTACTAATGAAAATTTCCCTAAGTTGCTCCCTGTCCTTATCCCCTTGGTGCATCCCTATTGTTGGCAGACTTGTTGTGTCTTCTAGGGTGAAGACAGATGCAAAGTACCCATTTAGGGACTCTGCCATGTCCTTATCCCCCATTACAACTTCTCCCGTCTCTGACTGAAGTGGACCTACATTTACCCTCACTAGCCGATTCCTCTTAATGTATTTGTAAAAACTTTCACAATCAGACTTAATGTTCCTAGCTAGCTTACCCTCATACTCCTTTTTCTCGCTCTTAATGAGTTTTTTAGGTTTATTTTGCTAGTTTCTAAAACTCTCCCAATCTTCAAATTTGCTGCTTTTCTTGGCAGTTTTATAAGCGTTTTCTTTTAATTTGATGCTTTGCCTAACTGCTCTAGTTAGCCACGGATGAATTGCTTTCCCTGTGGTACTCTTATTCTGCAAGGGAATATGCGACCACTGAGAATTTTGCACTACATCCTTAAATATTTGCCACTGTTAGTCTACATTTTTACCTCTTAATCTTATTCTCCAGTCTATCTTACCTAAATCTTTCCTCATACCTACAAAATTAGCCCTATTTAAATTCAGAATACTTTGGCAATTTGGTTTTACAGAACTTGCATTTACATAGAATGTTTAAGGAGGACATCTCAAAGTGCTTTACAGAGACTGAGGGAGAGGGGTGATGGAGAGAGATGGCAGGGGAGGCCAATGAGATTTTTTTTAAAGAAAGATTGTGAAAGCAGAAAGGCAGGGGTGCAGCAGATGGATTCAGGGAGAGCTCGAAGGAATTGGGACACAGTGGCTGAAGGCTCAAAGCAGACCAGAGCTGGATGAGCAAGTGGACTGCAGGAGATTGCAGAGAAAGGGTGGGGCTGTGGAGCGAATGCAATAACAAGAACAGTTAATGTCTGCTGCAGAACTTTCTGCAAACATAATGGGAGGGAAGAGAGGGAGGAATTAAAATTAAATATGTGTACAGTGGAACTGCTGAGAAGCACTTTCCCACTCTTGCACATAAACAACAATACTTGCATTTCCTGATTTGATGCTGCGCTTTAACACAGGGAAATGTCTCAAAGAATCTCTCTCAAATGTAGTGACTGTTGTGCAGGCAAATATGGCAGCTAGACTGCAACGCAACAGCGCTCAAACAGACTGATGTAGAAAGGTGCGTTGTGAAGCCCTGTGTCAGATGTGGTTGTCTTGTATTGGCACTGCCACTCTTCAGCTATCACAGTACTGTACCTCTTGAAAAACAGCACCGGTACTGTGATAACTGAAAAAGGACAGTTCAGGTTTCCTGGGTCTCCAGACTTTAGTCAACAATGCATTCTACACAACAAATAGGCCACATTTCTCAACAGGGCACAAAGTATCTATAAACGTCACTCAGCCACCCGGAGATCAGTGGTTCTGCCAAAGACGCTCTCTCCATGTCCTGTTGGCACAATGGGAGACTGACTCACTTACGTGTATGGGGACAAAGGGCCAAGCAGAACTTTTGAGACATCTTGCTGTCCAAGGGTCATGTACAGCAGAGCCAGACTCTGGTTTGCCGAATCCACACAGCCACCCTGTGAAAACAAGAATGGTCACTAGACACAACAACACAGCAGCAGACACTGCAGGAGGGGAAGAATGTCTGTGTTTAGAAACACAACTGTTTGAAGGACACTGCTATGCACAATTGGCTGCCGTGTTTCACCCACAGAATATACAGTTAATTCACTTAAAGCATATTCTGTGAAGTGCTTTGATCCGTCTCGGCACTATATCAAATGCTAGGATTATTATTATATTATTATATGCTCAAATACAACAAGACAACAACAAATGTTCAGGGTGAGGGGAGGGAAGGGAGGGAGGGAGGAGGGGGTAGAGAGTCAAGAGAGGAGCTGAAGGCACAGTCGAAGAGAAAGGTCTTGAGACTGGCCTTGAAGGAGGAAAGGGAGGAGGCGGCGAAGGCACTGGGGGATGGAGTTCCAGAGCCTAGGGGTTGAGAGGCTGAAGGCCCGGCCACCGATGGTAGGGCGGGGTTGTGGAGCAGACTGGAGCCAGAGGAACGGAGGGTACGGGCAGGTAAGTAGGGGGATAGTAGGTCGGAGAGAGCAAGGCTGTGAATGGCCTTGTAGGTGAGGATGAAGATCAAAATAGGCATATTGACAAGATCAGTTTAGATGAAGAAGGCCCTTCGGCTCATTTGATTTCATCCTTCCAGCACTGACCCTACTGTTCCCACCATCACAACATTAAATCAGTCCAATGTCCTCGCCTCAATCCACCTCCTGCAACTTGTTCCAGTCGTTCATTTCCCAGCAACTCCCATAGGAAGTGTGCGCACAGGTCCGTAGTATTCCAGCAGCTTTGGCCGAATCTAGGAACATTTGCAACCAGCCAAAGAAAGTCTGGAGAGTTTGCTCTTTCCCAACAAGGAAAGAGAACAATAATCTTCAATACTCCTTGTTTTTGATACATCGTCTCATCACATCATCGACATTTCAAAGTACTTCATGGCATTTTACAATGCACTTCACAGTAACTGTATATTTGTGGGCCAACATGGCAGCCAATTTCCACATGGAAATGTCCCACAAACAGCACAAAGTGAATGACTTAATTTTAATTGTGGGATTGTTGGTCAGGACACCAGGAGAAACTCCCTTCTCCTTTTGAACGTGCCTTGGGACCATTAACGATGCACAAAGCTCTTTCCCTGCGTGTGATCTGCACCATCCATGTGAACAGTCAGACAGGGCCTTATTTTGTTTAACACCTCATCCAAAGGATGACAATACGGAATTCGCTCCTCCAATTAAAAAAAGTAGGTAAATTGATAAGATTTTTTTACTCATAAAGACATACAATTGCCATCAAGATGGGTTACAAAAAGGACAAAATTAAGTTATAACAATGAAGGGAAAAGGCAAGAAAGGGAGCAGGAAACTTCTGATGAATTGGTTTCTCCTAGTGTCCTGGCCAACAATCCCTCAATTAAATTTAAAAAATGTTGTGGGGGGTATTTTCCCCACGTACCCAGTGCTTCTGGGATGTTGCCCCGTGTGAGGGGAGCTATATAAATGCAAGTTGTTATTGTTGTTTCACTCATTGCAAACCTTCCATGTTCATGTTCTTTTAAAAACAAATTCAGATTCCATCTTTCACTGCTTCCAAACTGCTGGGGGTTCTAAACAATTCCTCAAGCCTTAGCAGCGAGCACTCGTTCGTTGGGATTGTTCACTTGGGAGGTTCTTGGCTTTTGCTCAGTGGTTAGAGCCACTGTTCTAGTGTGCAGCAGCCTACACAGGGAGAGGCAGAGAGACAGCTGCACACAGTGGCCGCTTGCTGTGTGTGGCGCTGTTGAAAAGTCACATTGTCATTACAACTTGAAACTGTACAAAAACAAGCCTCTAAATGCACAACAAGAAAAACATCCCTTTAAAACGGCCATCCAGTGTGATTGTAAAATCGCACAACCAATATCACCAAGGGCTGAAACATAAAAGAGAAACGCGCTTAATTTGATTCATTCACCAACTAACTTATGAAATTAAATGAGGATGAGGGAGACAAGACTGAGGGAGTCAAAATTGTGGGGTGGGGGGGGAGAAACAATATTTCTCATTATTGATGATATCTCAGTATTGTGTTTTTTTAATTGCTACGCTTGGTGCTAGTTTAGACTGGAATACAGCCCCCACCCACCTGCCAGGTGCCCTCACGTTAATTGCTCAAATTGATTTATTTCTTGTGTAAAGTGTTGACAGCCCATTTGACCACAAAGAGAAGAGAGGGAACAAGAGAAAAGTGAAGGATCCCAGCAGAGATCCGTCGAGTCCACATCAGATGTAACAACAACAACTTGCATTTATATAGCTGTGATGGTGGGACAGAGCCCTTGACAGTGGCGGAGCACAACGCCGAGCCAGGGGGAGAGGGTAGGTGATGGTAGGTACGGTCCAATAGGAAGTCTTCAGGCATGGCCTGAAGATGGGGAAGGAAGGGGCAAGGCGGAGGGATAGAGGAAGAGAGTTCCTGAGTTTTGGGGCATAGTGGCTGAAAGCTCAGCCACCAATGGTGGAGCTGAAGGTACGAGGCACTTTCAAGTCGAGTGGAGGCAGTGGGTAGGGAAAATAAGAAGGTTGGAGAGGTAGAGAGGTGCCAGGGCATGAAGGGATTTGAAAACATTTGAAGTGTGAGGATCTTGAGATTGATCGGTAGTTACAGATTAGAAGTGATGTTCACATGTGTGATCCAGAGCTGCTGATACCAACTGCAGTACCATCTGCATGCTTTACTGCTCTCCAATCCTGAGTGTTTGACTCATTCAGGGGCAGTTTCTTGCCCACTCATCACATGCAGACCTCAACAGTGAGCATCAGCAGGACCCGTGTTTATGCAGCCGGAGTTGTGGTGGGATGGAAAGGGGGTGGGTTCATATCACACCCGAAGGCAGTCCTCTCTTCACTTGGCTTCTGCCCTTTTTCAGCAGAGAATAACTAGATGAGGAGCGGGAACTCCTCTATAGAGCTTTGGGGCGTAGTGACTGAAAGCATGAAGTAGCACAAAATTAACAGGCACAGAATACAATCATACCTTCTCTCCTGCTGCTGCACCCCCCTGATGACAGAAACGTCCAGGTTATGTGAAGAATTCAATAAGAATTACGAAATTTCAGCACTCAACTTCAATTGCTCCATTAATGGTACAGAACACTTTTTTCACTTGTAAATAAACTCAGGGTGGTCTCAAATCAAAAGTGAACTTGTGTGGGAGGGAGGTGGGATAATGGAATTCAACCGAGCATTCCACCCCCACTTTGCAAAAGATTCACATTAACTGAATGAAATACATTTATGCACCTTGGAAGATGGTTAGATGCACATGCTCCCACAGTGTTTAAGTCACAGCACACAATCCGCAGAATCTCTACTTACATCAAAGTGCTATGGCATCATTGTGTCTGGCTGACAACAGATGATCTGGCAGATTCGCAAAGCTCTGAGCAGACTGGTGCCAGACTAGACTCCTCGCTCATTTCTGAACAATAAACTGCTCAAAGTTGGCAGCTGGGTGACGTGGATCGGGCAGCTAGACATAGGCAAAAGGGCTCACTAATGAGAGTATCTGAAGATCCACAGTCCTTCGTCAAACCAACAAGACTACATGTCGCTCACCAACAGGGTTGCTTGTTCAAACTGAGGGATCACATCAGTGATTAGGTTTCGGCCTTTGTACTCCAACCCACTCACTTTGGAGGCAAGGACTTGAGACCAGTAACCTCCGTTGCAAACAGTTTTTTTGTTTGTTTTTTATTAAAAAAAAACCTCAGCCAGGGGTTCCCACTCCCGATTGCTGTCTGAAGGCCCCAGCTGGAAAATCTCGCCTCACAAGCAAGAGACCTGGGTTGGATTCCCGGCATGGCGAAACCTGAGGCAAGTTTCCTTACTCCACACGCCTCTGTTTACCTAGCAGTGAGTAGGGGCCCGGTCATTAGTTGATTGGCGGATCGTTTTCCAGGGGTAATAATCCCTCAAAAAAATTTTTTTTTCACTCAATCCATGGATTGTTTGTGGGACACTGCTGTGCGCAATTGGCTGCCATGTTTCACCATTAGGTTTGGCAGAAACAGCCATTAGGTTTGTCACCCACTATTAGCATTAAAGTTAAATTTTGAGAAAGGCCAGATGCAGAGTAAGATCTGACCCAGCAATGTATCCAAACTTAAAAGTAGGTTTGACAGAGAGATCCCCAAATGAGAAGGTTGTCACGTATTCCAGGGCACTGCTTGGGTCACTTACATTCAAACTGCTGCCTCGCGACAACACTGAACTAAACCAAGTGCATCTCCAAGGAATGAAGATTCAACACTACAACCCAATGCCTTACAACACAAGGCTCTTCATAATTTCAGAGTACTCCAGAGGCTGCTCTCAAGTTACAGAAGCTGGCACCCGGCACTTGTTTCAGTCTGCGTCAAATAAGTGTCTTGTTGCATTAAAATCCAGTTCTGCTCCGATTTCCACAATGGTGGCATTCGTAAGTCGACTTGCTTTGAAAGCATGGTCAAGCACGGCAACGGCAGACTGTGTATATATTACCTAGATTTACAGAATCTGCACAAAATACAGCCTAAGTGGATACAAGTTCATGCACAACAATTGCGCACAATGGAGTTGTTCCACACACACACTAACACACACTACCACCGATTCCTTCCAGCTAGGAATAAATCACTTTCGCAGACGTGCAATATTTACCAGGTTAACTAACACAACATGCACTTAACATAGTGGGTCATTGCAAAGAAAAGCTATCAATCTTTAGACAAAACAAAAAAAAGTACTGACTGTTATCAGCAATTGATCCAGAGTTCCACTGTGTACAGCTATATTGGAGCCAATTCAATATATATTGGATGCAATACAGTAATTGCTTTTCCCCCCGACATGCGTTCAACGGCAGAGGAAAACTCTCTTCTCCCCTACCCCCCCCCACCCCCAACTCTAAAGTCATACAGCGATAATTGAGCGTCGGATACTTACTCTGTAGATTTCTTCTAAAAGAAGTTGCGCACAGTTCTTCCCAAGGTCTTCTGCCAAGACGGCCGACCCTTGACCCCGAGGATTCGAGGCCACCTCAGCGCTGAGGAAAGTTCCATTTGTCGTCTCAGCGACCAGAGTCAGACCGAATCCTGGTGACCTAGATACAAGCACTGGGCGTTAAAGCAGAATGAACCGTCTCTGGACCGAGGCCCACAAACAAGTGTCACCATGAGCCTCACACTACAGTGTGCATACCACAGTAATGCACCACAGATTGCATACACCCCCAGATCTCATATCCAACAGAGAGAAACACACAGCCCCCAGAGATTGCAAACATCAACTAATGCCAGTTGTTTTTGGTGTTTAGTACTTGGGAGCAAATCATTACCCGAAACGTAAACAGACACGAAATTCCAAGAAATAACCCAAATGTTTAGCTTCCAATATTGCTCTTCTTCCATCAAGCAGTTTGAATTTCTCTCCCTCTCTCACCCCCACTCCGCCCCCAAATCTTGTCTTGGGGTGTAGTCCCAACAATCACTAACTAGAACAGAACTTCTCCAACCAAATGGCTACTATTTTCAAGAGTGCCTCAATAAGTGGACAAGGAGTGGGATACCACCTCTGTCATCTCTAAGCCTCAGATCAGCCTAACTCAGCACAGAACTGGGCTACTGTAAACTTGAATGAATAACCACGACAAATTACATTGTATAGTGTCTTTCATATCAGGAGGACATTCCAAGGCGCTGGACAGTCAGGGATTTCGCCCCAAGCAGGAGGGGGTTGAGATCAGGGAGGGTGGAGGGCAGTGAGGATAGGGTTAGGAGGTTGAGCAAAGCCACAGTCGAAGAGGAGGGTTTTGAGACGTGCCTTTAAGGAGGCAAGGGAGAGAGCGAGTCGAAGGGACTGTGGTATGGAAGAGTGGGGGCCTGAAGGCCCGACTGCCTGTGGTGGGGCCGGGAACAAGAAGCAGAGGAAGTGGCCAAGTCTATATGGATGTCACAATCTGACCTGAGACTCCAGGATGGAGTTTCAGAGAGCACGGGAGGATGGCTCAACAGGGTGGCGTACATGAAGCAGATGTTTGAACTGACCGAACAAAGCAACCGGGTCAGTTGGTTTCAGGAAACAGCAGCGGAAGAATGCAGCAAGGCTGGGGAGAGATTTGAATGAAGAACAAGAATCTTGAATTCGATCTGCTGGAGATTTCACTAGTGAGGCCAATCTGTACAACTCCTGTTGCTTCTGGATGAAGATCAACAACTACTTGCATTTATATAGCGTCCCTCACGCAGGATAGCACTCCAGATTCCCAAACCCAACCAAACTGTCCCACATTTTAGCCAAATATCTGGCCCAGTCTCTCTTTGCATCACAATGACTTACTTTCCTGAATTGGTTCCCTTGAGATGATCGGTACAGATGTAAATATCCGGTATCAGCTGGTTCAGGACTCCTCTGGCCGCATCGACTAACCTGTTGGCAATCTGTGGTGACACCCGGACAGAGTACCTGCAGTTTTGGTCAAGGAAAGACCTGAAGTAGCAACGACCACGTCCATGCTAAACTCTGCCGGAGTTTATGTCAGGACAGGAGCCAAGGGGGCAGCAGCATCATCCAGTGCGGAAACCGGAACATGTCTAGTCAGTTTACATGGTGAGAGCAGCCATTGTACTGTGTGGTAATACAGTCACACACATTCTAAACTAAATTCTTGTGGGTGGATTCTTGTGGACACTGGCATCCAAATCAGAGACTAAATTAAGAGATGCCTTGAGCATTGAATATGAAATACTCAGATGTGCCAGATGCAGATCTCCTCCCCACGACCCTCTTGGCCCCCGCAGATCTCCTCCCCACGACCCTCTTGGCCCCCGCAGATCTCCTCCCCATGACCCTCTTGCCCCCCCGCAGATCTCCTCCCCACAACCCTCTTGCCCCCCTGCAGAGCCCAATGTAAGTATTTTCATTCATCAAATTAGTCCCCCGTACCCCAGTGCACAGCTTCACTCCCTGCCCCTCCCACACCACACTCCACTCACCACATGTCCCAAATCAATGGAGCAAAATTCCATTCTTGAATGAGAAGACAGACAACACAGATGCCCTTCTCCTCTGCCAATAGCACAGGTGCAAGAAACAACAAGGTGCCCCATTCCCATTTGTCTTATAGAGGAAACACCTGCTCTGGGCTTTTCGTTTCACTTGCTCATTTCCCGCCCCATTGAAAAAAGGAAAGAAACAGTATTGTATATTAAAAGTGAATTTGAAACAAAGTCATGAAAACCTGGACACATTCACAAAGTGAGCAGATTGCCTGGACTCGCGACTCTTCCCCAGCACAGTCCAGGACCAGTACATCTCGTCCACAAAATATACAATCAATTCACTTTACAGTGTATTTTGAGACGTCTCAAAGACGTGATAAGGCGCTATATCAAACACAACGATTATCATCTAGCAGCTCAACAGCCTCAGTGAAATATTGAAAGCACCCAGCCAGCCACCAGGGTTCTTCCGAATTGTTTCAGAGGACATCCTCCAGCTTGTCCTACACCGCACAGCAGTAAATCAGACCTAATGCAATATCTATCAGCAACCAAAGAGTATATAATAACAATAATCCTTGCATTTGATGTACCACCTTATCACATCTTCCAATACATCTCAAACCATTTCAGAGGATATACTGTGTACTGTAAAGAGGGTTTACTGTGTATTTTTTTATTTTTTTTAAGGGATTATTACCCCTGGAAAGCAATCCACTAATCAACTAATAACCGGGTTCCTACTTAATGCTAGGTTAAACAGAGGCATCTGGAGTAAGGAAACTTGCCTAAGGTTTTGGCCCGCCAGGGAATTACACAAGCGTCCTCTCGTTTGCAAGGCGAGTGCTCTAACCTCTACACTATGGAAGTCCACCTTTGGGTGGTGCAGTAACAGAGGTTATTCTGTTGTGCATTTGACAGGGACGGAAGAACACAGAAAGATGGAAATATGTTAATAAATAAATTTCCCCTCCCTCCTCTATAAAACCACACCACAGAATAAAGCTTAAATGTTTATCTAGCAGTAAGTAGGAACCTGGTTGTTAGTCGAATGGCGTATTGCGCTCCAGGGGTAATAATTTCTTCCAAGTAAAGAATAATAATTTGGTCACTTCAATCCACAACTGTTAGTGGGACACTGCTGGGTGCAATTGGCTGCTGCGTTTCGCCCACAAAATATAGTCAATTCATTTTACAGTATATTCTCTGAAGTACTTTGAGATGTCTTGAAAACTTGGTAAAGCGCTGTATCAAATGAAAGGATTATTATTATTATTGACTACTCTCCCCCCTCTCCCGGCAAACAATATGGTTGCTAGACACCTTTCCAACCTTTGTTAATGTACTTGTGTTCCCCTGACAAGTGGCTGTGGTTTTCACAATCAGCAGATACCACAAAAGATCAGATCAGCACTAGCAAGGGGAGTGCACATGCACTGTGGAGAGTCACATCTACATTCCCACAGTTACACGCTGCAGTCAAGGAAATACGTAGCATAATGTTACCGCAGGCCTCAAATAATCCAACTACACTCTTCATCAAACTATAAGGGATAATAGCAAAGGTGTTAGTAGAAAAACAAAGGGCAGATCACCTTGTGAATCAGTAAGTCTCCAAGAATAAGTGGATGCTGTGTAACTGTGACTGCACCAACATTAACCAGGTAGGATACGCCACTCCTCTAATCCGTTTAATTTTTCCAGGGTCTGTGAACTGGACTGGCCTCAAAACACTCTTCACTGGACAGGAAAAGACAACCTCGCCTCCTCCTCCGGGCGCCATGCCTCGCCGGGTGACCTGCAAAACAATCACACATCCATCCTTTATCAGGCATAAACCAGGACAAAATTTTGTCCTACCTTCAAACAACCAGTTTTATTTCCTTATCTCAGGACCATCTGAATGTGACGGAAGAATAGTTGTATTCAAGGGAACAACTAAAGAGTGGAGCAAACAAACAATCTTGGTTGTCACTGCATCAACTCCGGCTGGAGGCTGACTTCCACTGCATATACAACATCATAATGGGGGCTGGATGAAGACATAGACATTTTTACATGGAGACGTTTACATAGACTTTTACATAGTTACATAGAAGACCTTTTTTAAGAGACTTTTACATAGATAATAATAATCCCTGCATTTGACATAGCACCTTATCACGTCTTCCAAGACATCTTAATGCGCTTCACAGAATATATTGTAAAGCGAATTAACTTTATATTTTGTGGACAAAATGCGGCAGCAAATTGCGCACAGCAGTGTCCCACAAACAATCGTGGATTGGAATGACCAAATTATTATTTTTTTCTTGAGGTATTATTATCAGGTGTATGGAGTAAGGAAACTGGTCCAAGATTTTGCCCTGCCAGGAATCAAACCCAGTGTTTCGCTTTCGAGGCGAGTGCTCTAACCACTGAGTTACAGGACTCCAGAGGAATATGAAGTATTCCTCTGTAGAATTGTGCACTGCTCCATTGAATAAAGTCCAGTTGTATGTGAATTGACTGTATATTTTGTGGACAAAACGTGGCAGCAAATTGCGCACAGCAGTGTCCCACAAACAATTGTGGATTGGAGTGACCAATTTATTATTATTAATTTTTAAAAAATCAACTATTACCCCTGGAAAAGCAATCTGCCAATCGACTAACAACCGGTGTTCCTACTTACTGATAAATAAACAGAGCAACCCAGACTGTTACAGCACAGACATAGGTCATTTAGTCAAACTAGTCTGTGTTGGTGTTCATACTCCGCATGAGCCTCCACCTTCCTCTTCTATACTCTTCTTCAGCCCATTCAATTTCACCCTCCAGCTCACCCCTATCTGGTGCGCACCTCTACTGAGATCAGCTAACTCGACACAACAACAAATTACATTTTCACGTTGGGAGGACATCCAAAGGCCCTGATACAGACGAGGGTTAGCGACTTAACATGAATTTATGTGTCTCTCTCTTTCTCTTCTCTGAGTAAAAATGTGCCAATCTCCAGGCTGAACCAATGCATCCACTTTGGTCTAAAAGCTGATAATTTGCTGATATTATTAATTGAGCAACTGCGGGGGGCACAGTGGGGAACGAGAGTCAGCATTCGTGGTCAGGCATTCAGCATCTCTGATCTCTGCCCCCACACTCTGGAACTCCATCCCACAATCCCTCCGCCTCACCCCCATGCTTTCCTCCTTCAAGTCCTATCTAAAGACCTTCCTCTTCGAGCATGCCTTCGGCCACCCCCCCACCATATTCAAACCAAGGAGGATGGGGCACAGAAACATTAAATCCTTCTTAGTCCTTAAATTCGAGCCTACAACTGGACTTTATACAATCGAGCAGTGCACAATTCTACAGAGGAATATTCCTCTGGAGTCCTGTAGCTCAGTGGTTAGAGCACCACCCTCGAAAGCGAAAGACCTGGGTTCGATTCCTGGCAGAGCAAAATCTTGGGCCAGTTTCCTTACTCCATACACCTGATAAGAATTCATCAAGAAAAAAAAACAATAATAATTTGGTCACTTCAATCCATGACTGTTTGTAGGACACTGCTGTGCACGATTGGCTGCTGCTTTTCACCCACAAAATATACAGTCAATTCACTTTACAGTATATTCTGTGAAACGCTTTGAGATGTCTAGAAGACTGAAAAGTACGATATCAAATGCAAGGATTATTTTAATTATTATTACTCCATGTCCTTCTAGCTTAGTGACAGCACAGAAATCTTAATGCCAACAGCCAATTTGGACATCTCATCAGTAATCTGTAGCAACCCCCATAATTTGCAAGCTCAAGGAAGTATAATGATCTTTCAAGAAAAGTGAACTTACTGTCAGAACACTCAAACAGTGAGACGTGGGCAAGACACTTGCAATTAGAAATCCAGAATGTGGTTGATGAGCCTGGAGTGTCAGTTAACAGAATCACAGCTTTAATTGGGAGATTTTTGTTTTAGCTTTTTTTAAAAAAGCCTCAATACCATGAACCAGCAAGTTGTTGAAGTCAAGTAATTACATTGCCACCTTTCATGCCAAGAAGTTGTCTGAAAGTGCTATATAGGATCTACTGTAAAGTCAAATGGTCTGGCTCAGTGGAGCACTCTCACCTCCAAGTCAGAAGGTTGTGGGTTCAAGCCCAACATTGGATTTGTGATCACATAGTCTAAGCTGACACTCCTATGCAGAGCTGGGGTATGCTGCGTCATCAGAGGTGCCGTCCTTCAGGTGTGACGTTAAACCAGGGACCTGTCTACCTGTTCATCTTCAAGGCTGAGACTGATAGATTTTTTAAAAAACAGAGGGATTAGGGGATATGGGGATAGGGCAGGTAATTAGAGTTAGGTCTGAAGATCAGCCATGATCTTATTGAACGGCGGGGAAGGCTCGAGGGGCCGAATGGCCTACTCCTGTTCCTAATTCTTATGTTCTTATGTTCAGGTGGACATTAAAGATCCCATGGCACTATTCGAAAAGCAAAGGGAGTTTCTCCTGGTGTCCTGGCTCACCCAAATAAAGTTGGTCATTCACTCGATGGCTGTTTGTGGGACATTGCTGTGGGCAAACTGGTTGCCATAGTTCGCCCACAAAATATGGGTCAATCCACTTTACAGTATATCCTATGAAGCGGTTTTGAGATATCTCGATGACGTGATAAAAGCACTATATCAAATGTAAGGATTATTATTCAATTTTATAGATGAGAGGCACCAATTTGTAGACAACAAAAGGCCCAAACATAGCAAAGTAGTCAACGACCAGTTCATATCTGGGGGATTATATCTCTAACAAACCTGATCAGTTTTTGATGAAGTAACGGAAAGGGTGGATGAAGGTAGTGCAGTTGATGATGTTTAATAAAGTGCCACATAAGAAACTTGTAAACAAAATAGAAGCCCACGGTATTAAAGGGACAGTGGCAGCATGGATACAGAACTGGCTGGGAAACAGAAAGCAGAGAGAGGTGGTGAACGGTTGTTTTTCTGACTGGAGGGAAGTGTGCAGTGGTGTCCCCCAGGGATCAGTGTTGGGACCACTGCTGTTTTTGATGGAGATACATGACCTGGACTTGGGTACAGGGAGTACAGTTTCCAAGTTTGCAGATGATACTAAGCTAGGAAAAGTGATAATTAGTGAGGAGGATAGTAAGAGGACGTAGACAGACTGGTAAAATGGGCAGACACATGGCAGATGAAGTTTAATGTGGAGAAATGCAAAGTGATGCATTTTCGGAGGAAGAATGAGGAGAGGCAATATAAGCTGATGGGATAATCTTACAGGGGGTGAATGAAAAGAGAGACCTGGGGATTCATATAAGTAAATCTTTGAAGGTATCAGGACAGGTAGATAAAGCTGTTAACAATCACACGGGTTACTAGGCTTTATAAATAGGGGCAGAGAATACAAAAGTCAGGAAGTTATGATGAACCTTTATAAAACACTGGTTAGGCCTCAGCTAGAGTACTGCGTTCAGTTCTGGGCCCCACACTTTAGGAAGGATGTCAAGGCATTGGAGAGGATGCAAAGGAGATTTACCAGGATGCTACCAGGAATGAGGGACTTTAGTTATCAGGAGAGGCTAGAGAAGCTATGATTATTCTCCTTGGAGCAGAGAAGGTTAAGAGGAGACTTAATAGAAGTTTTCAAAATTATTACGGGATTCGATAGGGTGAACAAAGAGAAATTATTTCCACTGGCGGGTAGGTCGGTAACCAATTTAAAATAGTTGTTAAAAGAAACAGTGGGGAGGTGAGGAGAAATTTTTTCACACAGCGAGTTGTTCGGATCTCGAAAGCATTTCCTGAAAAGGTGGTGGAAGCCGATTCAATAACGACTTTTCAGAGAGAAGTAGATAATTATTTAGGGCTATGGGGGGAGCGTGGGATTGATTTGGATAGCTCTTTTTCAAAGAGCCAGCTCAGAATTAATGGGCTGAATGGCCTCCTTCTGTACTGTGTAATTCTATGATTGTTGGCCAGGACGTGGGAAACACTCTCTTTTGAGCGTGATCGTGATGCTCCCCCGTTTCAATAGCCCGAGGATGCTTGGTGCCCAGGCTCACGCATGAAATAATGATTTGTGGGCTAGATACCTCAAGGCTGTCAGCGCCTGTGGAATTGTATCACGGTCTCAAGCCGCTCTATCGCTGCAATTGCCTCAAACCCAACTAACACAGCCACTCCCTTCGCTCAGCAAGCATTGGAAGCCCTGCTTCATGTCCCCAACCTATTCCAAAGCCCATTTTCAGTGGACGGACTTTCAGCCTTTCTGCCACCACTCTCTGGAAATATGGTAATGTCCCTCCGATTCGCTCACCCCTACCTCACTTCGTCCAGGGTCTGTCTCAAGTCCTACCTCTTTAACCACACTATCAGTCATCTTCCTCCTCACCATCCCACTTGGCTCCCACCCCAGGCTTGGGTGCCCAGCCAGTCACTGTGAAGTGATTGGAGACATCCTCTCAATGTGAAGGGTGCTTTATAAAAGTAAGTTTGTACAACAAAGTACAGATAAGGGAGACAATTGAAAGAGAAGACTGTGAACGTTCCCTTACCTTTAGCTCAAGTTCTTCACCATCTATACCAAATCTTTTCAGCAAAGGGATAGCCGTCACTTTAAGGGCATCTACCTGAGGGTAGCACACAGCAAAAAAAATCTTGCAGTTAGTCAGTTCAAGAAGATTGTAAATCAGAATTTATATCAATCAGTATTCACTCGACAGAAATGACTTTTACAATTAAGAAATTACAAAATAAATCTTCTTGATTAAATTTATTTCTTGATTAAAGCCATAAAGACTAGTGTGAGTGTTTAGGGGGGCGCTTCTTGGTGGCACTGTCGGCCACTTCTGACCCACAGGCTCGTTGGCCACTACTGCTTGACACCATTTCCTAGATTGATTCCCCAACAGTTTATAGGATTGAGATTATCCAATAGATATTCCTTGTGGAATGACATTTGTTCTCCAACAACAGCAGCAACAAATTACATTTGTATAGCTCCTTTCACGTCAGGAGGACATCCCATGGCGCTGGATAGTCAGGGATCCGCACCCAAGCTGGTGGTTGGGATCGTGAGGGTTGGAGGGCAGGGAGGATAGGGGTAGGAGGATGACTGAAGGCACAGTCGAAGAAGACAATTTTAGGACTTGCCGGATTTTAGGCAGAGGTCACAATTTGGCCACCAATTGGTGCTATTTAACTCTATATGGCACCACTTCAATCTCTCTCTGCCCCCATACGACAGAACTGCCATTTCTGACACAGATTAGTTTAGCATGGACAAAAAAATTAAGCTGTAAATGCCTTTTTAGTTCCCCGTCTTTAGTTAGGATGTAGTTTACAAAAATAGGAACTGAAGAGTTTTGGCCCTACATTCTAAACCGATGCACCCGGATTACTCCAACTCGGTTACTCAAGGATGTTTTTGTAAAAACAGTCAACTGTTGAAACATGTAATGTTATTCGGATACCTCTCTCCACCTTCCCAGCCTATAGTTTAAATATATCTTACAGAAGGGTCGATCTGGTCGTTGGTTACTCCTCTCAGAATAGCTTTCAATGGCTTCTTCATAAATGGAGTGAGACAGAGCAAGGCTTCCAGGTAATAACCAATGGAGCGCTGGGTGTGGCAGTCGTGCTCTATCGTTCCTCCGTGTAGAAGACCAGGCTGATAGTATAGTGTTGTACCTAAAAGTAAGAGCATAGTGTCAAAATGTTAGAACCAATAATGAAGGACAAGCCTGAATGAACAGCAAAGTGTGCGGGAATACCAGTCAGAAGCAGAGACACCATATTCCTGGCTCATCCCGACTGGGAAGAGCAGATGGATGAGGACAATAATAACAATCGTTGCATTTGATATAGCGCCTTATCACGTCTTTCAGACGTCTCAAAGTGCTTCACAGAATATACTGGAAAGTGAATTGACTATATTTTGTGGACGAAATGTGGCAGTCAATTGCGTACAGCTGTGTCCCACAAACAGTCGTGGATTGAATGACCAATTTTTTTTTTTGAAGGGATTATTACCCACGGAAAAACAATCTACCTATCAACTAACAACTGGGTTCCTACTTACTGCTAGGGAAACAGAGGTGAGTGGAGTAAGGAAACTTGCCTAACATCAAACCCAGGTCTCTCGCTTGTGAGGCAAGTACGCTAACCACTACGCTACAAGACTCTATAAATTGAAAGGGAGGAGCATGCTCAACTCATAGTCCCACAACAGTGAGCATTCTCATGCCTCAGGCCCTTGGACTTTAGCTTTCCTTCCTTGGCCAAGATCAGAGATCAGGAAGTGTTTGATCACTGAAAAGCACGGCCAGGTCATAAATAGCACCAGTAGATACAACACAAAGCTCCAATGCAACAATATCATCTGAAGCCTATAAGAGTGCTCCCCCAAAGGGTCAGAGCTTCCATCTACACATCAATCATCCCTGTGACCTTTCTAAATGAGGGACAATTACAAGGCAAATCGGGTTAGTTTGTGCTGCATGCCTACTCATTAGAAATTGAGAATGCTCAAAAGTCATTTCACCTGGGGCCTTCACACCCAGCAGAGAATGGAATGTTTTATCCCTGCCGATTGAATGGATTTACATCGAGGGGTTTCAATGGTGAAGAGAGATTTAGAAGTTAAATTAAATTACTATAACTTTGATAAAGCACCATTCGCATCAGGAGGACAACTCCAAGGGTTTCACAGGAAAGAATTTACTGTAAAATGTAGTGACTGTGTATTTTGTAGGCAAATGTAGCAGCCTATTTGTGCACAGTAATGACCCCGAAAAAAGCCTTGGAGCGAATGACCAATTTTATTTGGGGGATTGTTGACCAAGGCACCAAGAGAAACTCTCTTCTCTTTTTGAATAGTGTTAGGGAGATTTTTAACATCCACCTGAACAGAGAAAAGTCTACGATAAGAACAACTTGCATTTATAAAGCGACCTTCAAGCAGGGTAACATCCCAGAGTGCTTTGATTAAGCATGTAATCCAAAGGATGGTTCCTCCTACAATGCAGCACCCCACCAGAACAGGATTGTAGTGTCGGCCTAGACTAAACAAGGTCAAAGTCCCGATATGTGACTTCTGACTCAAGAGGTACATGTGCTACCAGTTGTGTAGCCAGGCTGACACTTGAATTCTGCTCCAAGTAATATTTAACAAGGGAGGGAAAAATAAGTCTTAAGCTTCATAAACTCTGAAGGATAGGCCTCCACTTGCACACTGATGCTAACTTAACATTTTCAGAGTCAACGCCTGGTGCCAGATTTCTGATTCAGATCACCTGTTGCTCCAATTTTTACTCTGTCTAATATTATAGCTGCCACCAGCAACTATCACAGACGACATAGCTTAACAGTGCTAATGCAGAACAAGCACAGACCTTGCCAAAATTGAACAAAGCATACTATAAAGAGGTAGTGTGTAGGAAAAGTCTGAATAATTGACGATGGAAGCAATAAAGTTGCTTCTGTATTATATGCAAACATTACTGTCAAAAGGTCGTCGAGCTTTGTAGGCGTACTACAAATTGACTCGACCAGAGAAGACATTACTTTTTAATTTTTTTTATCATGAATCAGTCTTCCATTTCAAAAGATGAGGAGGTCATAATGTAGTACCACTCTCAACTTTTGGCAGCATCCAAAATTATCGCGCATGCTTCACTTGTACTTATACAGTGGCTTTCACATACATGAAGGAGTAAATACAGATGGTAGCAACAGCTACAATTTGGATAAAATAAGTGCTAAATTAGAAGAATCGATTGTTTTGTTCACAGATTACGAATGTTCAAGTCCTGCATCGTCTCTGACCACATAAAGTTGTCCAACAAATTGAGTTCTTCCTGGAGTCACGAATTCTGCCGGGCTTTAAACAGGAGCAACAGAAAACTGGATTTCAAATTAAAACTCTGTGCTAAGATTTGACCAAAATTGCACACGCACTGAAATTTTAAGCAAATCGTCTCAATCTAAAACCTGGCAAAAACTCAGTTGCAGAAAATTTTTTTTTAAATACTATATCAATTAAAAACCATCACACTTTTTTTTAAAAAAAGCAATCAAACTGCTTGAAGTTGACTGCAGTCTTTGGCCAGGACTTCTTCCTTTCCAGTGGATGTATCTCAAATGGGGTGTGGGGGCTGCTACAGGTGGAATACTGGCCTAATATAGCATATGTATTTAATGTAGTGTTAAATTCGCCTGCAATGTAATGGGATTGACACAGGAGTCAATAGATGTGAAACTTTTAAAAAACTGAATTGAGATTTTTCCTGTAGACATTTAACTATATTTCAGTTTGGGTCTCTAAATGCTGACAGATACTTATACCATCTAGACATGTAAATGGGGCAACCTGATCTGAAGATTCTAAAATTTTTTATTAAGAACTCACCAGTTTCATTTATCTCAACTCTGGAGCCATTTGTCAATTTGTCCAAAAGCCGAATGAAACTCGCTTCGAAATCTAGAAATGTTGAGAGGAGAGTTAAAAGGCGTTTACATGACACTATAACAAATATACATTTGAAGTGGTCTGAAATGGTGAAATGTAACAGGTAAATTAGAAGAATCGATTGTTTTGTTCACAGATTACGAATGTTCAAGTCCTGCATCGTCTCTGACCACATAAAGTTGTCCAACAAATTGAGTTCTTCCTGGAGTCACAAATTCTGCCGGGCTTTAAACAGGAGCAACAGAAAACTGGATTTCAAATTAAAACTCTGTGCTAAGATTTGACCAAAATAAACTCGACACAGCAACCAAAAACAATCACTTGTTAGAATTTAAACAAGATTACAACAGGCCACATTTCTTTGGGTAAAAAAAAATTATAGGCATTTTCTGTAGTTAGCCCAGTATTTCGCCCACAAAGTACACTCAATTCACTTTATAGTATATTCTGTGAAGCGCTTTGAGACGTCTCAAAGACGTGATAAAGCACTATATCAAATGCAAGGATTATTATTACAGAGCACTGACTGCTGTAATAGCCACAGTATTTCTGGAGCTATAAGAACAGGCAGCTGTAGTAACATTTTGTCTGCTCCCATCAGAAGTAGGGAATGACAGATCTCTGCATCAAAAGGCTCAAACAATCATGTACAAAATGCTGGCCACTAGCCTCCGACTTCCAGCAAGACCTTTACAGACAAATGCCACAGACAGACACTCTTTTCATCAGCAAAAACAGAATAGCAGCGCCGCAAGACAGCTGGCTTCTAGTTCTTTTTGTGAAACTAAAGGCAGGCCTGATACAGCCATTTATGCTGGAGCCATGCAAAGCAAACATAGCCCAAGCTGCTCTTCACAACACCCACTCACATCAGCAGCTTTTTCATGATACAGCCAGGTCATCCTAGGTCTTTAAAATTACGAGGTGTTTTGATAGTCAATCGGGAGAACAAATGAGGAGGTAAGAATTTTTCTCACAGTGTAGTTAGGATTTAAAAGGCCCTGCCAAGCGTTCAAAGGGGAACTAGATATTCATCTTAAAAAGAGTCAGCTGCAGGGGTATGGAAAAAGGACATGTAAGTGGGACTGAAAGGATTGCTTGAGGAGCCAGCAGAGATACGATGGGCCGAAAGGCCATCTTTTGTGCTGTAAATTTCTATGGTTCTCGTGGCAGGTTCTAGTGTCAGTCTGGCTCAGTTAGTAGCATTCTTACCCTGAGTCAGAAGCTTGTGGGTTCAAGTCCCTTTTCAGGACTTGAAACCCATATAGTCTAGGCTGACTCTCCAAAACAGGATTGCTGGAGGTGCTGTCCTTCGGATGGACACGTTAAAGCAAGGTCATGTCTGCCTGTTCAGGTGGATGTTAAAGATCCCATGGCACTATTCAAAAAGAGAAAGGAGTTTCTCTTGGTGTCCTGACCAACAAACCCCCAGATATAAACAAAACACAAAATACTGCAGATGCTAGAAATCTGAAACAAAAACATAAGTCGCTTGGAATTGTTTTGTTGCAAATCCCACCCTTTGTTTTGCATCATTAACACCTCTTTAACCCATCAACCCCTGTCCTCTACCCCATTTTCTCCTTTGTCTTCCTTGCCCTGCCTCCCCCCCTCTCTGTTAGTCCTTAAAAGTCTCTCCCTCCTAACATGCCCCAGTTCTGACGAAGATCGTGGACCCAAAACATTGACTCACTTTCCTTTCTCCATAGATGCTGCCTGACCTGATGAGCGTTCCCTGCGACTTCTGTTTTTGTTTCAATCCCCCAGATATAATGGGTCATTCACTCAAAGGCTCTTTGTGGGCATTGCTATGCACAAATTGGCTGTCGCATTTGTCGACAAAAGTGACACCACCTTACAGTCCTACATAGGGCCTTTTGACTAATAGGCTGACTCTTCAACACAGTGCTAGGAATGTTATACTAGTAAGGAGGTGCCATCCTTTGGATGAGACAATACACCAAGGGTCCGTCTGCCTGTTCAGACGGACAATAAAGATTCCACACTATTTGAAAAGGAAAATGAGATACTCCCGGTATCATAGCCAACTATCCCCCAAATAAATAAAAACTGGGTCATTCACTTAATGCTGTGTGCAAATTGGCTGCCACGTTCATTAACTAAAATACAGTCACTCCACTTCACAGCGCTTGTGAAGCACTTTGGAATCTTTAGACAATGTGATAATAAATTACTATGATAATCCTTGCATTATCATTGTGTCAAAACATCCAAAGCGCTTCCTTCATAGGACATCACTGTAAAGTATAGTGACTGTGAAATTTGTAGATGAATGCATGCAATAGGCAATTTGCACACAGCAATATCCCAAAAACAGTCATGAAGTGAATGACCAATTTTATCTGGAGAATATCAGGAGAAACTCCTTTCTCAATAAGAGACTCCTCCAGGGGTATATGAGTAGTGAGTGTTGTTAAGAGCACCAACAAGGCTTAGGAATTGTCTATATTCAACAACAACTTGCATTTATATGGCACCTTTCACACAGGGTGGCGTCTCAGAGTGATTGACACCTAGATCTTGCACAGGTTCAGTAAGTCTGAGGGATAGGCCAGGAAGGTTATGGAGGCCAGAGCCGCAGGTAAGGAAACATTGATTGTACTCAAGGAGGATGGCTTCCATGTTGTCAATATTCAGCTGCAGAAAGCTGACGCTCACCCAGGACTTGCTGTTTGACAAACAGGAGGACAGAACTTCAGAGGATTGGGGTCACAGGTTGTTTATTTTTTGAGGGGGTCAAATGACCTAACGATCTCACTGAACCAGTACCTCCAGGGTCTTGTATAATTAGGTTTGATTCCTAATAAATTGTCATTTTCACTTGGATTAATTGATTCCCAGGAATCGGAGCAATTGGTGTCAAACTTTCAGCAAGCTTCAGATATCCTCAACTCCTTGAAAGAAAGAGAGGATTTCCCAAAGCACTATAATAGTGGCATGGAAGCTTTAACATCCACCTGAACAGGCTGACCTCGGTTTAATGTCTCTCCTGGAGGAAAGCATCTCTGACAATGCAACACTCAGCACTGCACTGGGTGCATTAGCCTAGACAGTGAGCTCCCATCCCGATTTTCAAATACCAGAAGTGTAGTTATTAAAACCAGAGGACACAGCCTGCGATTGATGGGGGCAAATTCAGAACAAATCTACGGAAACACTTTTCAGTGAGCGAATAGTGAACTTCCCTAGGGAGATGGTGGAAGCAGAAAATGTTGATTCTTTCAAACGCAGATTAGATAGTTTTCTTTTAGGAAATAACATTACGGGATATAGTACATAGGTAGTTCGGGACATATGTGTATGCGACGGCCAGGAAGGTGGAAGGTGAGCTAGATGAACCTTCATCTTTCTTTTGTCTAGTATTTCTTATGTATAAGATGCGGCATAATGGCCATTAAGTTCTGATCATCCCACTGTTCCCTTTGATATCACATGAACGGAATAAAGAGGCAGTGGCATTGCAGGTTTACCACAAATTCTTAGCATAACTGCAGTCTATATCATATGAACTCACACCAAGTTTGCAGAATAACCATAACTGATGTGAAGCTAACTTTTTCCAGCTCTGAGAATAATATTTTTTAAAAAAGGCTTCCAGACTGGCTTATGCAGTCTAACTTCTGGGAACAAAGGCAGAATGTCACTGTTGTTCAATGCCAAACAAGCTCCAGTTCCCTGAATACAGAGCAGTGCGCAGCAGGTAGCGTAGCCCAATGCAATCCTATCAGTTTAAGACTTGAAGCATTACTGGTGCAGAAATCCTCAGCACGCTTCCGAACTTGGCTCAGATACAGTTCTCTTCCTCTCCCCCTCTTCCCCCATGCACAGACATGTATATATTATATCTAATAGATGTTTCTAGACAGAAGTGTTGCTCACTTTCTTAAGACACTCATCAGGACCCAAACCAGAGTCAATTTACCAACTTAGCAGCAAAAGCTAATCAATAAGAATAGTGATAATGGGGATTTCAATTATCCTAACCTAGACTGGGAAACACACAGTGTAAAGAGCAAGGAAGGGGAGGAATTCCTGAAATGTGTGCAGGAGAACTTTCTGGATCAGCATGTTTCCAGACCAACGAGGAAGGAAGCAGTGCTGGATTTAGTTCTGGGAAATGAGTTTGATCGTTGTCCTTTTCCTTAATTAAGTTTAGAATAGTTATGGAAAAGGACAACAATCAATCAAAAGTAAAGACCCTCAACTGGAAACGGGCTGATTTCAGTGAGCTAAAAAGGGACCTGGCCAAGATAGATTGGAAAGAAAGATTGGCAGGTAAGGCAGCAAACAAACAATGGGAAGCCTTCAAGGAGGAGATAGTTTGGGTACAGAGCAAATACATTCCCACAAAAGGGAACGGTAGGACAGTCAAACCTCCCTGGATGACTAAGGAAATTGGGATTACAATAAAACAGAAGGAGGCTTATGACAAATATTAGGTCCAAAACACACAGGATAATCAAATAGAATATAGGAAGTACAGAGAAGTGAAAAGGGAAATATGAATGGCGAAGAGATTGTGCGAGAAAAGCTTATCAGGAAACATAACAGGGAACCCTAAGGTATTTTTAAGCATATCAAAAGTGAAAGGTTAGTCAAAGGTAGGGTTTGTCCAATTAGGGACCCAAGTGGAAATCGTCTTGTTGAGGCAGAGGGTATGGCTGATGTACTAAATAAGTGCTTTGCAACTGTCTTCACAAAAGAAGACGATGCAACCAATGCCACAATATCTCAGGCGTGTGAACAGAAATTGGATATGATAAAAATCAAGAGAGAGGAGGTACTAAAAAGGCTGTCGGTGCTCAACATAGATAAGTCAGTCACCTGGTCCGGACGGGATGCATCCTAGGCTACTGAGGGAAGCAAAGGTGGAAATAGCAGAAGCTCTGACCATGTTTCCATATAATCTTTCAATCCTCTTTGGACACTAGAGTGGTGCCAGAGGACTGGAAGGTTGCAAATGTTACTCCCCTGTACAAAAAGGGGCAGAA